GTTAGTAAAATTTCTATCACTGGTTTATTTGATCTGTTTATTTTGGATAAACAGTTTTCTATTTCATACTTGCCTTTTTAAATTTAATATGCAAACATACTGCAGTAGGACACAACTGAAGGATATGAACAGTTCAAAAAAGTTAAGCATGTCTAAAAAGACAAGATGTCTTGGGTCATATAAAGCCCTCTGTCAGGTTTTTATAGTTGTCTTTTTCCCAATACAGAAATGTTTCTCTTGTGATGGGTGAGGGAACAGTTTGGAAGTTTCTCCAATAGCAAAAGTCATGGCAACAAAGTCACTAATCAGAGCAGGTAATGGTAAGAACGTGTCAGGTTTTTATTGCTACCAAATCCAGAAATAGCCACACTCCAAGGGTCTTCACTGAAAATAAAGATTTTTATTTGTGGAGCACATACATGCTGTTAGTTCCTCCCCACACATGCTCATATAAATCTATGAGTAAGCCAGAATGGTGAAAAGCATTCAGTGCACATGGGGAGGAACTAACAGTATGTATTTGCTCCACAAATATTTTTTTTTTATCTTCAGTGAAGACCCTTGAAGTGCGACTATTTCTGGATTAGGTAGATATAGGCTGCGGCGCACGCCTACTGAGCAGAGGAGCAGACCTAACAGATAACTTTCTCTCAGGTCTACTCCTCTGCTCAGTCGGTGGGTGCAATAGCCAGCCTGCTATTGGCTAGCTTGAGAGTTACTAGTAACTCTCAAGCAACCAGAAAGTACAGTACAGTTATGTAGCATCTACCAATCCCTGTGGTTGCCGGATAACTGGGAGTTTACTGTATTATTATAGGAAGTCAAAGAAGCCACCCCAACGTCTATATGTACCCATTCCACTGCCTTGTAATGACTGACACATGGCAGCAGATATTTTTTATTTCTGATTCAGACCTCAGACCTTTAGGTTCAAAGGAGAATTGGCCACAAACGTCTAATTTTCTAAGAAAGATTCTTCCACAATGAATGACTATTACAATCATGGAAACCCCAAAAACAATAGCTATTTTATACAGCATGATCTTGTTAACTGTTATTGTGGTATTAGCAGACCGTAAATGCCTTGCACTTTTACTGCATTCTTAATTCTTTGTATTTAGTGCTTGTTGAATCGTAATATATCCTGACAGCTTAATTTACTATAAAGATTAATAAATCTCTCCTTTAACACAAATCCATATTGCATCTGTCAGAAATCCTCCACAGTGGGAACCAGGAATAGGAAAACCACACTTAAAATGTCTGTATGTACATGGTCTTAGAACTGATAAACATAAAAATAACATTTTTAAAACAGCTAAAATACATTTTTAAAGAATTTAAGCCTGTCTAAATGAGACATACAGGAAAAGAAATGCTTTCAGCACTTTTATGGATCTATGAAATAGTCTTTTTCAGAAGTTTAATTGTAACGTCTCGTCTTTTGAAGGTTCCTCCAGCAGCAGCAGAGATTTGGGGTATTGTAAAAAGGCAGACACTTCCAGACCTTTATCACTGCGCTCTTGTGTGCAGCAAAGCAGACCTGCTAGCACAACCCATTGCTTTTGTGGTACAAGGTCACTCTAATTTCCTCCCTCTGGTTTTCATATTCCCACAAGGACGACTAATGCAAGTGCTATCATATCCTGACACAATGAATTGTGGAAACAGGCTTGTATTTCTTTCTTTTACTCCCTCTTCTTTCTTTTTTTTTTCCAACAATGGCCAGTACAGCACATGAGCCAAACTTTAACTCTTTAAGAGCAACACAGATTTCAGATATGGGAGGAGTTGTGTTATTTTACGCTGAGTTAGGGAGCCTGTGTTTACGTTCAACCATGGGCAGAGGATTTTCCAGTTTTTCTTAAACTGCCTTGCACTTGATTGAATCAATGGTCAATGTAAACTAAAGCAGGTTATGCACACACACTAAAGCAGCCCATAAACACAAACACTAACACTGGTCACCTAACCTGATCTGGGTGCAGATCTAATTAATCTGATGCTTAGGCCATACAAGCATATGGGTGAATCAGTAATTGGTCACGTCACTCTTTCCATAAGGTTGGAAAGAAAAAATAAATCTTCCAAAATATCTACATTGGACAGTGCAATAGCTGTGAGATTGGATCATACTGCACAAAAAATTATCAGCGCCCATTTTGATCATGAGGGGAAATTCAGGGGAGTCTCATGCAAGTACCAATTATACCAATTTAGGTTCAAAGCAACCTTTCTTTTACTATTAATCAGCACGTAGAGTACATGGGCACTTTTATAGCCTCTATATATTCATCAAATAGAAGTAATTCCAAAATTATACAAAGCAGAATCTGCTTGTCTTTTTCCCAATACATGCATTATGTGATGCATATTAACCATAAAGAAGCCACATCAATATTAAACATTGTTTGATAAAGTAAAGAGTCATAAATTTGAAAGAATACCTGAATTTTAACATGGTTTTGAAAAGAAAGGTTGTTTTAAATCTTTTTTTTAAAGTTTATAAGTATTTAAGCTGTTGTTCCATATGTTTTATACTATGTATTTATACATGTTTTGTTTTAGAAATAAACATTTGATAGAAGATAAAGACTACCATGGGTTAGATAACAATTAGCACAGCCTGCCTTGAAGCTGTGTTTGTCTGACTACAATTTTAGACTGTGCCATCTAATAAGGGATATGTCATCTCTCTCTCTGACTCACTCAGCTTGAGCTACTGAGTTTTATAAACAAGCTTATTTCAGTTAAAACTGAAAGGTGAACTAGTAAAGAACTAAATTCTACAAGCTGGCTGTAGGAAAGACTCCGGACTTTCTTAAAAAAAATTAAATATTTTTCAACATTATCCAAATTAGAAATATGAGCAAAACCACTGTACATTCCCCTTAACCTCCTACTTGTGTCTGCCCCTAGTCATGGGGCTTACCAGTAAATGACTAGAATTCAAATTCATACAAACAGCAAAGAGAGCAAACCCAAACCCACAGATTTCAGTCACCTTTACAATGTGGTTCAAAAACCACCTGATTGGCTGTTTACCATGCCACTGCTACACAATAATAAGAGGGTCAGGGTGATAACAATCAGGGTGGGTAATGATGCATGAAAACAATGCCTGGGCCATTACAACATAGTCAGATACTACCTTCAACATCATCTGTCTGTGTTTAAACACTGATCATAAATGAACTGGCAGACACATGGCAGTGAATATTGAAATATGTACCTGAAAAGGCATAATGCTATTATTATACAAGATGCTCAATAAAAATAATATAATATAAAATATAATACAAAAGCTGAACTTGTTATAGTATATGTTAGCCAACAAATTATATGATATACACGTATCTGTGCTTTTATTTTGTTTTTTATAAATGTAGCCCTTTTCTGTGTGTTCTTTTTCCCCCTGAAATATCTGATGATCCTGCCAGTTTCCCTTTATTGCCGGTTCATACTGACCACATCAAGCACGGAAGCAGAGCCATCCTGGTGTGGTTGGTTTATATATCAGTTGTTCCTGTTCTGAGATACAGGATGCTGTACTGTTGCACGGCGTGCCTGCATCTCTGTTGTCAGTTTCACTGCCATGCCCTCCACTTGACCCTGCGTCATTGATTGACATTGGCTCCCAGCAGGACCTTGATGTCAAAACTTAAAGCAAAATAGATGGGTAACATATCTCCACTGTGTGTGACATCACTCTGCCCCACCCACTTGCTATAAGACATGTCCCCCGTTTTGGAGAAGAGGAACATGAGGAAGGCTGCGCAGTCACGTGACCTTAAATAATAGATTTAAAAAGTACAGAAGTACTATATTTTGAAGAAAGTCTATGAGATTTTATTTAAAAAACACTGTTGGCTACATTACTATTAACTTTTGACACTGATGAGTTCACAATTACTTTAGGTAATTAAGCAAATCAATTTATCATTATTAGCAGGTAGAAGGTGGATAGGACTGCTTATATAAGCAGGTACTTTTATCCAATGTTCTGGCTTGCTCAGTCTTCTAGGTGAAATCATGACACTACCTACATGACATTATTTTACCCACACACACACACCAAAGCATCCCAAAGAATTCTGCTTGGACCACAAAGATGGAGAAAAAAATGGCACAGAATGTGGCAAGACCAATTCATGCCACAGTTGTACTACCATGGAGCCTTATCAAGAGAGCATCCGCTAAACATAGTTACATAGTTAGCCTTGTCCATCAAGGATTGTTGTCCATCAAGACCAAACAAGATCAAAACATTCAAAACCCGCAACTGATTCAGAGGAAGGCAAAAAACACCCATTATAACGCCCAAGCATTCTCTTTTCATACTAAATCAGCCAGTCAGGTTGAATGTGATTTTTCTTGGATTGTCCTAATCTGATTGGATAATTTTAGAGAACGGGTTTACACAGCTAGGGAAACATTTCTTTTTTAGTAATCATTCTTCCAGTTTAGCTGTCAATGAAATGTAATTGTTGTGCACACATGCTGATAACTGAATGTTCCTTTAACAAAGCGAAATAAATAAAAAATGTGTAATTTTATTATGCTATCAAGTCAATCATTATATTAAATGTAACTGTGTCTATCATTTTCTGTGTATTGTAATATTTGTAAGAAATCTCCTTCTATGCAAGGCCAATATGAAATACGCTTTTTTCTCACAAAAGACTTTGTGTTTTTACAGTAGGTCATATTTTTGTCCTTCAAAAACAGTTGTCAGTAGCTTATCATGAGTAGAACTATCAGACTGAAACAAGCCGAATCATATTTGTTCTTAGCAGAAAAAAATGACCCAGCTGTGGGCACAAATGGTTTTTATAGCTTTCCGATCCCTTTTTTTTTGTGCAACATACAGCATCATTGTATGAATGATAAACAGGCTGTCCAATGTTCTTTGCTGCCACATTTCCAGTTTTTTGCCTCTGTCTGGATCAGGCTTGCTTCTGGATAACCTTAGATACCCATGTGTACTGAAGGATAATTACCTTGTCATCTTTGTCATCCTCCTCCTCCTCGTCCTCTAACATGTCTTCCATTACCTGCGGGCACAGAAAAGGACAGCACTTTACTATTACTGTATACTTCCACAGGTCACATCTTTCCTGCTACAAAACACTTTGACTAGCTAAACTTTAACTTGCAAAAAAATAAATGAACAAATGTTAATGAAAAAAAACGATCTGCAGCAATATAATAGAGTGCAAAGTATTGTTTGTACTGTAATTTGTGGTTTTCTCTTTATTTTTTTACTACTATAATATTCATTCATTTTAGCCATGAACTCAATTTTGTAGCAGCTACAGAATGGTTCTCTTTAGCACTTGAAATACAGCCAATGGGGTTGACTTATTAAATTAGCAGAAATGTTTCACTTTTTAAAGTAAATGTGTTCCTTGCTTTGTAAATAAGGTGAAGTTGTATTCCCTTTAAAGTATATGTAAAGCCAATAACTAAAACCACATATAAACTTTCACATGTCAATGTCAATTCAAAAAGTAATTGTCTATATTTTTTAAAAACATCTGCAGCATTTAATAAAATAATACTTCTTGCAACAAAGGTGACAATGCTCTGTGCCTACCAAGGTTATATCTCCTTTGCACACCAAACTGATGTACCCCTTTTTTTTGGGTGCTGGAAAAACTGGTGGATGGCGCCACAGCATATGAATAAAAGATATGTTGTCCGCACACCAATTCACTTCACAATCTTGTCTTAATTGACTGGTTTGCAGCATAGGATTGCAACATTTCAGAACCAAGCAGGGCCGCCTCGTCAGGCAAAGGGTCATGCCTGACAAAGGGACCCGTCATGGTTCCAAAATGTTGCAGTCTTATGCTGCAAACCCATCAATAAAGAAGAGATTATGCAGTAAATTGGTGTGCAGACAACATATGTTCTATTTGAGTGCTCTGTGCATGTCCCCAGTTGTGCTCCTGAATTGTCACCCTTGACATAAGATTCTGATGGAGACGACAAGATACGGTTTTAACCCACATGGTGGCATGGCAAGGTCCACTGTTGCCATCATCAGGAATCCCACCCTGAGATTGCAATGCAGCCATCACTGTAGTGCATGTCTGTAGAGAAGATGATGCTAAGAGGCTGCAGGGGATCAGCAGTATGAAGATGCAACAGAGGATTAAAGGAGTGAAAGGGCAATTGACTTTATACACACTTCTTTAAATACTAAATATCACTCAGTTAAGGTTACATCTCCTTTATCGTACAATCGTGCAAGGAAAAAAATACTATTCATACATTTTCCTTTCACATAGTTGTATATTTAAAATGAACATAGCTTCAAACTTATTCTCTAAGCTAAGTGAACATTTAAGTGTAAAAATAGCCAAAACCTTTCTTTTTAGATTAGAGAGAGAAGGATTAGAGCCCTGTCAGGTTTGTCTTGTTTTCTGTGTTCTGTTGGAGAGATTCACTCTCTCTACTTGTCATAGAGACTATTGTCACTGAGACACACATCCATGGAAAAATCCAAGCTTTGTAGTTGTCACTGGAATGGGAATAGCTGGGAATTCTTTAAGTAGGGACACTTGTTCTGGTGACAGCTAAGAGGGGAAGTCCCCTCACTTTTTATAGATCTCCTCTTACATCCTGATACAGGAAGTGAAATCCCCCAAAAGACAGCAAAAAATAAACTGACATGAGTTTTAACCCTTTCCTACTCTATCCAAAACTTAAAAAGAAACGGTTTGCTATACATACACTTTAACTTTGTAAAGTAGCCAGTGTCTTTACCAATAGTAAATCAACCACACTGAAAGGTCTGTATCACAGCAATTCCAGTGATAGGTAGCTTAGTCACTGAGTGAATGGCTTTTTATGCATTTGACACTACGTAGAGAAGAGTCAGATTCAGCAGTTGATCATTATACCCAATCTTCTGCTCGTCATAGCACAACAGTGATTTTTAGCTGCCTAGACAATCTATTATATCCAGCTACAGCACAATCTCTAGAACTAGCTGGGCAAAGTAAGCAGAGAGATTGGTACCTACAAGTCTCTTCTACAAAGTCACTAAACAGACATTTACCTTCATTGTTCTTTACATTCATTCAGTTGGACTTGGTTACCCCTTGAACTGCTAGCAACAAATTACAACAAAGTTTTATAGCAATTACAAAATAATAACTTTGTTTAATGCTTTGTACATAGCATAACCTACTATTACATATATTACTATTCCATAGTCCATATCTTGATGGACTATTCCAACACAAGGGGCGAAGGGGGTTCTTCACAGTAAGAGCGGTTAGGGTCTGGAACTCACTGTCACCGGCAGTGATTTCAGCTAAGAGTGTGGAATCGTTCAAGAAGCTTTTGGACGATTTCCTGAGGGACCGTAATAGGTACAGGGGTACAAGTACTCCTAAGAATGAGATGATACATGGACTATACTCATCAGCAATAGGTTGGACTTGATGGACTTGTGTCTTTATTCAACCTCAAATACTATGTAACTATGTAAGATACTGGAGATAGATAGATAGATAGATAGATAGATAGATAGATAGATAATATACAGTATATAGACAGATGGATAGGTAGACAGACATGCAGACATTAGATAAGTCGACTATGATAGATAGATAGATAGATAGATAGATAGATAGATAGATAGATAGATAGATAGATAGATAGATATTATGAAAGATGTATCTCATTGTAAATTTTCTCAGCACTTTTTCTAAACTTTAAAGTCTATGAACGTTTTTTTTTAGTCTTTTTTTAACCTACATTAAAGCCACCACAAACTCTGTGAAATAGATAGTTGCTAAGAATTAAATTGAAGAGAAAAAGCAATTTTAAAAAATGGATCCTGTGAATGTAAGTCTACCTTCTGACAACACAAAATTGCAGTAATTGCTAAAGCCACAAAAGTTGGATAAATTTGTCCCCATTTATTTTGTCCATTTTGATTTGTTCCATCCAGATGCCTTTAATAGGCTACTATTCTTGACACCAGCTTTCAGCGCACGCTGAGAAGCTGGCACAGTCTTCAGAGCCCTTTCAAATTCTCATCCGGAGAGCTTTGTGAGTCCTGACCTGCAGGATAAATGCACTGGTTCACCTCTGTATGATAGAGGTGTTTATCAAGGATACATGCCGTACATTAAAATGTTGTCTGCCTCCTGTCCATCTTAACCGAGGTGCTAAGGTCATAGGGGTGCTTTAGGGATAAAAAAAACTAGCAGGATTCTGTGAAGGCAGCAAATTATATGTCAGGCCGAGACGATCTTGCAGTTTGAAAACATAGAATAGAGAGGAAGATGAAGTTTATTTTTTTGTCATGGAATGTGGTGCTTTTTTTTAATAAATGTTTTTATTTATCAAGAAGATATGAAGCAAGAGGTCAGTGAGGGGATGGAATGACTCCAAAAAGCAGTGAAATTATTGAATCTCCTGTCAGGTTCCACATAGTTAAAAGAGAACTATGGGGTAACTTTTTTCCCGTAGTGCTCTTCAGGGTCACAGGTCCTCCCGTGACCCAAAGCTCAGTATATAACTGACTATTGCCCACTATATACTGAGAGCGGCGCAGCCGGGACAGATCCCAACAATACTGTTGAGATCCCCCCAGCTGCGTGAGTGACAGATGGCTCTGCCTATCTAGAGGCAGAGCCAGCTGTGCCCGACCTCTCCCCCGTCCGTTCCTCTCATAGTTCTCCTTTAAGGAACGGAATGGTTTTAAAATAGTATGCAGCAAGTTGGGTGTGGCAATAGGAACTTAGACTCAAATTTTATCCCATAAACACTGTTGGAGAGGTGATCTGTAGTGGATTCTGTGTAAGAAGAGAAGGCCAACCCCCCAAATTTTTTGACAGCAAGTTTTAAAAAATTTAATGAACATGTCCTATGATACCTGCAAATATGCAGTTACAGATGTATGTGGCTAATGGCACCCCAGTCACGGAAGGCAGATTGCACGGGTTCCCGTTGCAGTTTCACCTCTGCAATTGCGCACGATTGCGGCAGAAAAAATTGGCTGATATAACCCCATTGAAATTATTAGGGCCACGTGGCAACCGCTGTGTGCGATTGTACACAAACGTGTGATCCCGGGACACGTGTACCGGGATCACCTAGGTATGAACCTGGCCTCAAGACAACTATCATGCTTTGCACCACACATGCTGCTAGGAGAAAACTGTCAGGATATACAAGTTGGCTCATTGCTTTTCTCAGCAGTGTAGTGAAAGTGAAATAAGAGGGATCCCCAGCATCCAAAGTCTCATATACCCTATAATGAGAAACTTTGTAAAAGGCTACATGGTTAAAGGATAGAGTTGACACTCCTTTTCTTATTGCAACAATTCTCAGGTGATGATAATCAAGACAGACCCACTCATTTTTTTAACAAATTTAGTAGAATATGATGGATTAGAAAATGATGGCACAAATCTGCAGAATAGTCACTTTGAAATACTATTATACAAACTTCCCTAACATGAATGAAATGGAGTAAATGCCATGTTAACACATATGGGTGGTATGTAGCGGTATTCAGGACTTTGACTCCATGCAGAATGAAATGTGTGAATGAAATACAACACAGGAATAAAAGTGCCATTTGATGGCAAAACTGATTCTGCACTTATAGTTCCATTCTTTGCTGAAAGTAGCTGAAAATGTTGGATTCTACCTGAATCACTACATTAAATGCCTACTTCGCTAATTTTTCTGTTATTTTAATATTACTGTAAACTGTCACCACCTACTGGATGAAATCACACAATCTGTGCATTGATAATCCCATTGCCTCTAGACATTACAGCCCAAGTGCGCTTATTAATGAAAAAGAGCACACTGTCTAGATTTTACAGTGCTACCTGTAAATTGTGTTTTCCTATACCTTGGATAGGATCAAGTAGTATTAATCAAACAAAGGGCAGGCACAGGGGAAATCAGGCACTTTTAATGCAAGCAGTTAAAAGTGACATGACCTTCTGTAATGTCACTTGTCACAGACTTATATGCCACAGAGTGGTAGAAGGTCTTGAAGAAATCCAATGCTTGTTTT